TCTCTCTCTCTCTCTCTCTCTCTCTCTCTCTCTCTCTCTCTCTCTCTCTCTCTCCTCCCATTCCTTCAAACTCTTTAACCCTTACCTCTTCCCTCTCCCCTTGCCCTCCATGGCGCGTAACTAACCTCTCCCCTCACATGCTACATCGCTAGGGGACGAACGGTAACGAACTTGATCCTCACTTGGTGGAAAGCGCGGGCAAGGGGAGGGCAGCCGGTCCCTTGTGCCACCAAGAAGGAAAAGCGCCAGACTGTTGTGGAGATTGGAGAAAGCGGAAAGGAGTGTTGTTTTTGTAACAAGGTCAGTTTGACTCAACCATCCTCCCGGAATGCATGACTGAGGCGATCGCATGGCTGGCCTGTGTGAAAGGGAAGGGAACTCATAAGGGGAATTGGAAGGCAAAGGCAACTTAGGATTGCGGGAAGGGGGCGATGTGTTGACCCCAATGGGGACTGCACTTGGTCATTTGTCTTGTGTGGTCTTGCGCAGGTGAGTGGCTAGGTACGATTTGGACGGGGCTGGACCCGCGGATGAGGACTAAGGTGGGAGATTGGCTAAGGAAAGGACTTGGATCCGGCTTAAGCCATGGATGCGGGATGAGTTGAGGCCGAGCGTTAGGGTGGATGGTTGATGCATGGACTTGGCTTGTGTGGAGGTTGCATGGAATGTCTCTCTCATGTGCAATGCGACCCCTGAAAAGACTAAGGGCGGTCTTGGATAGGTGATGCGATGCTAGTGGCTCTCGCAAAAAAAAAAAAAATAGCGGCTAGGGGTCCGGGCGACGTCGCCTTACCCCAAGGATGCCACCGGGGCTGCCCAAAGCCGTTAGGCTTAGTGAAAAGGTGCGTGGCCCAATGGATGACGTTTGGCCTGCGCACGATAAGAAGACAAACTCTCAATCAACTCCCTGGATTGCTTGTGTATTGGAAGGAGCAATTGCCTAGTCATACTTAACCGAATCGAGAAAACGCCACGAGTGCCCAAAGAGCTACCATCTTGACGCGAGAGCAGAGCTACATCCCCCAATGTAAAACCCTCTCCCAAGTGGCCCATCCCCATCCATCTCATAGCACTAAGTGGAGGTGCCCATGGGACGAACGACCTGCGCCCTGAGCGTGAGCGTGGGCGGGTCGAGCCAACTGGGACCCGCAGCGGGGTCGACTTAGGCTCGAAAATCCTTCAGGGTACGGCCCCTACAACGTGCTCCTACTTCTCTGCTGCGCGTTGCTTGTTTCCCCGCCATCTTCGAACTTGTAGCGCATGCATCCTGCGCACAACCGCGTCCGGGTGCATTCCCTTCATTGTGCCCGTATCTCACCCCTTCGGCTTGCTCCTCCTCGACTTCGTCTTCACCCCTCGCTACTCTCGGATGCACCATGGCGCCTGCCCCCGTCCGGGCTCACCTACCGCGCTACCACTTGCTTCCCCTTTTCTCCACTGCCCATCGCCTCTCCGCCTTGCCTCACCGGGCTCGTCACCCGCTGCTACGCCATTGCCCCGCCCGTTGCTACTAACGCAGCCCAGTCGGACCAGCCACTTCGGGATTCCGCATCTGCCTCCACCCCATTCACCCCAACAGTTGTTGTCTCCGTTTCTCCGCTCGTGCAGTCTCCCGCCAGGCCGCGCCAGCCCATTTGCTGTAGTATGTGGTCCTACAGCCTCGTAAGCCCGACAGTCTCAGTCAGGCCCGACAAAGAACTCAAAGAAAGCCAACTACCAGTTGGCTCAATCACCCGTTGTGTTGTTAGCTCGTCGCTCCTGTCCTGCGCCTCTCCAGCCGTAGCGCTCTGCCCCCTGCCTACTCCGCGGGGCACTAAGCAGAGTCTGCGGATGCTCATAGGGGGAGTGGATCCGAGGGGAGGCACAATGACTGGCCCATCGGAGAGGCCCGACCATGATGTTGCCGGCTGACTCGTAGCCCGTACCGCCCACCTGCCGTAGCAGGCATCGCACCTGCTGGCTGGTGCGGCTCCCGCGTGTTCCATTGCCGGAGTCTTGGGCCCGAGCTTGGCTGTTACGGGGTTCCCGGAGAATACAGCCACCCCTGCGCAACCTCATCGGACCCGAAACGTAGGTCATATACATCCAGCATTACCGCGCCGTGGTGGCCATTAAATCCATCGTTGCGTCCCAGTCAACGGCACGCCGGAGCATAAAAAGAAATAAACAACCATATGGTGCTAAAAAAAAATATCTAGAAAATGCCACCACCGACCGGATGCCGCCGACGACAAAACCAAAGGGGGATAGCCCCGCCGGGCCCTCGACCCCGCGATTTATCTGCGTTGCTCTGATACCCTCGCGTCGTTGTTGCTCGACCTCGATTCCTGAATCTCTTCGATGACAGTCCGACACTGTAACCAATAGTGTTAGACCCAAGGCTGGTTCTAGCACTGACGGACACCTAACTAAGCGAATACAGCACGACGCGCAGGTCTACCGAGACGTCTTCAAAATCACACTGTTGTCGATGTCGTCCTCCGTACGTACGCATGTGTAAATCGCAAGCAAGTACACCAACCAACAAGACATAATCTGTTTAATCCTAGTTTAATCAGAAACATAGAATCTGGTCGGCAACCAACGCCGACTTTTCACAGTCATCAATCAAAAATAAAAAGATCACGCTCGCCTCAAAGTTGCGCTCCCACACACTCTCTACTCTAGTCAACCATCCAGTCATCCTTAACCACAGACGCAGCCGCGCCTCGCGTGGTATACTTCAACTTTGATTCCAGGCTTAATTTTTGTCGCTTGCAAAAACCAGGGCGGATACCCTTGTAAGGGTATTCGTACCGACAACTTACCAGACCATATTAAGCGACGTCCCCGTCACTTCGCCAAATCAAAGAGCTATCAATCCATCCATACTCCAAATGCTGACGAGGAAGGAACCAATCCGATTAGCCGACAGACTCAGGTTCAAGGCCACCAACAATCTGTGCCCACACGCCCCTGTTACTTTCGGCGTGGCGGGCAGTCTGCTAGTGCCGCTGTTGATGGCGGGTGGGCTCATAGCGTTTTCCGTTTCCTCCGTCGGGGGGTCGTTCTTGTCCTTCCCCTTCTTACTAGGCATTCCTTTGTGGTTATTATCCTTCCACTTATACCTGGCCTCGTCCTGACCGATCCTGCGTCCCTCACGTGACGCCCTGGGGGTCCTCTTCATCCTCGGCCATCATCTGCTCAATAAGCCTTGCCTTAAATTTTGTAGTCTGTTTTTCTTTCTCTGCCAATTTACGACTGGCATCCGAGACTTTTGTCTTTTTAGGGGTGGCTCCTGTTGAGTTCCGAGGGTTTGTTCTTATATCGTTTTCCCCTTCCCTGTCTTCCTGAGGTCCTCTTTTGCTACCCCCAGCTTTCCCCAAACTTCTCCAATTGAGGCGCCCTTTCCGTCTTCTCGGGTTCCTTCAAGTTTGGTTGACTCTCGATCCCTGGTTGATCCCTCGTTTCGTTCCCCATCCCCATTCGTGCCCTAATGCCCTCTGCTCTGCTGGTTATCGATCCCTTCCTCAATCGTCATTTTTTTACCTAGCCTGCACATAGAAAAAAGAATTTGCGAAAAAAATGGCCGGTTGTTTATAACTGCCCTAGTCCTGGCCCTAAAGTCCGCCTATTCCTTACCTCACTAACATCGCTCATTTTCAACGTCTAAGACCATTCAAAAAAGTAGGTGATAATATACTTGCGATAATAATGCACTTGCAATTTTTGAATACTGAATGTCATGAATTCTCATAATGATTGTTACCTATAGTAGGGATATATTGTCATAGTGATGACAATAATGAATAATTTTAATAGTTAAATAGTATTAATAAGTGCAGAGACAAGTTTGACTGGCATATGCGTGCATAGTGATGATGAGAAACTTATGTTAACCGTTACGACGGACAACGGTCATGCTGTGGTCAATAAGTTATCCAATGATAAAGGTTTATAGATACAAAAATAATGAGAATACTACATTCTACTCCCTTGGCCTTGATAGGAGTATATTGTGTCAAGGGGCAGTGTAATCCCTTAAAAGGGTTAACATCTTAGAGTCATGAGCCCTGCTCAAGGATCAAGCCTCACTGTTTCACCCTCCGATTCCAATATTCGTTCATTGCAGACCCTTGTCCATTAGTAGACAAACCCACCATACGCGTTCCAGGATCCATATCCCATCTCGTGCAGATGAACCCACTTCACACAAAGATAGTTGGGGAATCACTCCCTGCTTCCTTGCGGCAGATAGTGGTCGCCTCCTTTACAGACCATAGTCTAACAAGGCTCAAATACTTTCTTTCTTCTTAATAGTAATGTAATCACCTCTCCTCAAAGGGTTAGGTGACAACACCCCACTATGCACCAGGAACATAGTTCCGGTGTGGGTCTCTCTACTACTTCTGAAGACGAGTTTATAGCTTCTTCAAGC